CATATGACATTCTCCCAATCCTCTTCTGGATTATCCAAATGCACTCTAGCAAACTTCAGACGGGCCTGGACATGTACTGGCTTAAGCAGGGGGGACATGTCTGGCACTTCAGGATTTGAGTCCCTGGCGGCGTAGTGTGTTACTGATGGTAGGCTTTGTTACTTTGGTCCTAGCTCTCTGCAGGTCATTCACTAGGTCCCCCCGTGTGGTTCTGGGATTTTTGCTCACCGTTCTTGTGATCATTTTGACCCCACGGGGGTGAGATCGAGGGAGATTATCAGTGGTCTTGTATGTCTTCCATTTCCTAATAATTGCTCCCACAGTTGATTTCTTCAAACCAAGCTGCTTACCTATTGCAGATTCAGTCTTCCCAGCCTGGTGCAGGTCTACAATTTTGTTTTCTGGTGTCCTTTGACAGCTCTTTGGTCTTGGCCATAGTGGGGTTTGGAGTGTGACTGTTTGAGGTTGTGGACAGGTGTCTTTTATACTGATAACAAGTTCAAAACAGGTGCCAATAATACAGGTAACGAGTGGAGGACAGAGGAGCCTCTTAAAGAAGAAGTTACAGGTCTGTGAGAGCCAGAAATCTTGCTTGTTTGTAGGTGACCAAATACTTATTTTCCACCATAATTTGCAAATAAATTCATTAAAAATCCTACAATGTGATTTTCTGGATTTTTCTTTCTCAATTGTCTGTCATAGTTGACGTGTACCTATGATGAAAATTACAGGCCTCTCTCATCTTTTTAAGTGGGAGAACTTGCACAATTGGTGGCTGACTAAATACTTTTTTCCCCCCACTGTCTCCTGTAAGACCCTATGATCTGTGAACCGTACATGATACAGACACCATCTTGGTGTCATTATAATTCTTATACAGTGAGGGAAAAAAGTATTTGATCCCCTGCTGATTTTGTACGTTTGCCCACTGACAAAGAAATTATCAGTCTATAATCTTTAATCCCATAGAAAATCTGTGGAGGGAGCTGAAGGTTCGAGTTGCCAAACGTCAGCCTCGAAACCTTAATGACTTGGAGAAAATCTGCAAAGAGGAGTGGGACAAAATCCCTCCTGAGATGTGTGCAAACCTGGTGGCCAACTACAAGAAACGTCTGACCTCTGTGATTGCCAACAAGGGTTTTGCCACCAAGTACTAAGTCATGTTTTGCAGAAGGGTCAAATACTTATTTCCCTCATTAAAATGAAAATCAATTTATAACATTTTTGACATGTGTTTTTTCTGGATTTTTTTGTTATTCTGTCTCTCACTGTTCAAATAAACCTACCATTAAAACAGATAATTTCTTTGTCAGTGGGAAAACGTACAAAATAAGCAGGGGTTCAAATACTTTTTTCCCTCACTGTAGTGTGCTCTAAAATATGGAGTATGTCTTGATTCTGAAATACAATGTTTCACATTCATTTATTCAACATTGAAAATATTAAGATTCATATCTCAAAACTAACCTTTTTGATTTTGTTTGGAACAGTATACTCTACAGTACATCACATTTCCAGAGTGGGCTCTCTGCTAATTCTGAAGGCATGATACATTTTATGAGCACCACCAACAAAGTGAATGAGAGAAATAGATTCAAAGGGAACTCCTTCTGCTGGTGACATGCTGAATGTGCCATCCTAAAAGAGGGCTGTGATTGGTTAATGACCTATAACGTCAATTTCTATGTATAAAATGGGGTGATATCATTAGAAGTACCAGAGAGCCCACTCTAGAAATAAGCAAAATCAGAAAGGGTCGTTTTGAGATTAATAAATGAATGTGAAAATTGTGTATTTCAGAATCTAGACATACTCCATCAATTTTGAGAGAACACTATAAGGAGTATAATGACACCAAGATGTTGTTTGTACCCGGTACGGTTCAAAGATCATAGGGTCTTACAGGTGGCATGTACAGTGGGGAGAACAAGTATTTGATACACTGCCGATTTTGCAGGTTTTCCTACTTACAAAGCATGTAGAGGTCTGTAATTTTTATCATAGGTACACTTCAACTGTGAGAGACGGAATCTAAAACAAAAATCTCAGAAAATCACATTGTATGATTTTTAAGTAATTCATTTGCATGACATAAGTATTTGATACATCAGAAAAGCAGAACTTAATATTTGGTACAGAAAACCTTTGTTTGCAATTACAGAGATCATACGTTTCCTGTAGGTCTTGACCAGGTTTGCACACACTGCAGCAGGGATTTTGGCCCACTCCTCCATACAGACCTCCTCCAGATCCTTCAGGTTTCGGAGCTGTCGCTGGGCAATACAGACTTCCAGCTCCCTCCAAAGATTTTCTATTGTGTTCAGGTCTGGAGACAGGCTAGGCCACTCCAGGACCTTGAGATGCTTCTTACGGAGCCACTCCTTAGTTGCCCTGGCTGTGTGTTTCGCGTCGTTGTCATGCTGGAAGACCCAGCCACGACCCATCTTCAATGCTCTTACTGAGGGAAGGAGGTTGTTGGCCAAGATCTCGCGATACATGGCCGCATCCATCCTCCCCTCAATACGGTGCAGTCATCCTGTCCCCTTTGCAGAAAAGCATCCCCAAAGAATGATGTTTCCACCTCCATGCTTCACGGTTGGGATGGTGTTCTTGGGGTTGTACTCATCCTTCTTCTTCGTCCAAACACGGCGAGTGGAGTTTAGACCAAAAAGCTCTATTTTTGTCTCATCAGACCACATGACCACAGACGGGCCTGGACATGCGCTGGCTTGAGCAGGGGGACCTTGCGTGCGCTGCAGGATTTTAATCCATGACGGCGTAGTGTGTTACTAATGGTTTTCTTTGAGACTGTGGTCCCAGCTCTCTTCAGGTCATTGACCAGGTCCTGCCGTGTAGTTCTGGGCTGATCCCTCACCTTCCTCATGATCATTGATGCCCCACGAGGTGAGATCTTGCATGGAGCCCCAGACCGAGGGTGATTGACCGTCATCTTGAACTTCTTCCATTTTCTAATAATTGCGCCAACAGTTGTTGCCTTCTCACCAAGCTGCTTGCCTATTGTCCTGTAGCCCATCCCAGCCTTGTGCAGGTCTACAATTTTATCCCTGATGTCCTTACACAGCTCTCTGGTCTTGGCCATTGTGGAGAGGTTGGAGTCTGTTTGATTGAGTGTGTGGACAGGTGTCTTTTATACAGGTAACGAGTTCAAACAGGTGCAGTTAATACAGGTAATGAGTGGAGAACAGGAGGGCTTCTTAAAGAAAAACTAACAGGTCTGTGAGAGCCGGAATTCTTACTGGTTGGTAGGTGATCAAATACTTATGTCATGCAATAAAATGCAAATTAATTACTTAAAAATCATACAATGTGATTTTCTGGATTTTTGTTTTAGATTCCGTCTCTCACAGTTGAAGTGTACCTATGATAAGTAAGTAGGAAAACCTGCAAAATCAGCAGTGTATCAAATACTTGTTCTCCCCACTGTATAGGTCTAAAAAGGGGCCTAAAATTCCCAATTTCATCATGATTTTCAAGAAAATGGTTTGTGATACAAATGTAAAAAGCATATTAAACATCCTTCCTACCAATTAAGTTCCCATGTGAGAATTGCCAGAACAATCTGTTCCCACTGGCGTGGAATCGCCCTAAAGTTAGGTTTACCTAAACAACATGTTAACATGACCCTTTCCTCCCCACACTTTCTTCTAATCTTTCATGTAGACCACGTGTCAAACAAGGCCCGTAACACATTTCTATCCGGCCCGTGCAATGATTTGGGTTGTCTATTCATTTTGGCCCGCTTCCATACCGACCGCGATGCGCTGCACTCCAACTCACAGCAAGTACTGCCAACGTGTAGCATGCCAAACGGCAGTGCATTGCCACACACACCTCCTCCCAAACCCACACACATGCCAGCCAGTGTACTGTATCATATCACCACTAATGGCAATGGCCAAATCTTCTACCGGAATGAAAGTTTAAACGTGTTGTAGGCCAAATGTCCATGCCAAGTTTCAGTTCCAACGGGTCATTGCTATAGACTACAAAAAAATGTCATCTTGGTTGTCAAAAGGTTAGAAGATAAAGGATTCACACACGGGTATAAATTACTACTAAAGGACAATTGGACACACAAGCAAGTATAAATGTCAACAGTTGAGTCATCTACTTACAGCCTGGTGCGCTCGCATCAGTGAATTCAATGTCAATTGCGCTGCTTTCGTGTGTCCCCTTTACAGCGCGCAGCGGAGGGAAAGTGTACAGACACATGCCACAGTCCTAGCTAGGCTACTAAAATGTTGCAGTCTGGCTTCGGTTTTTAAAGCTTGACAATTAATAACCCAAAAACAAAACATGCAACAAAACACAGTGCAAATGAGAAACATGTAGGCCTATTACAGCAACATTTGAGCAGTAGTCTAGGCTGGCTACTCAACCACAAGACATTTTGATAGCACCATACAGCAATGCTGCATTCAACCACACTGGTGATCCATGCAGTGAAAAACATTTTTAAAATTTAAACATTACAACAACCTAGCTGCGTTTTTGTTATTTGGAGTTATGAATTACTTTTTGATTAGGGTCGCAGCATATAATGAACATCTGCGAGCATAGCAGCAAAGGCTGGAAACAATTATTCATCTGTTCTTTTGTTTTAATATGTTAAAATGCTATATACAGCACCCTATACCCTTTATAAGGGGACAGTATAAAGGATAATATGTTTTCTAATAAAACAATAGCCAGTTTGGGTCACAGTTGTATGGACGTTTTTTTGTAAATACAAACATAATAGGCTATGTCTGGCCCGCAAATTCGTTGGGTTTTTTTCAATATGGCCGTGCGCTGCTTGAGTTTGACACCCCTGATGTAGACTAAAGGCTATATAATTGAATCTTCTAGATGTGCAGGCTACATGGTATGGACAGTAACAATGACAAACTATAGCTGTATCTGTAGGTCATTGCAAAGCAGACAATGGGGGGTGAAATCTCAGACTGTCAAGTGGACTATTATGGAATATCCTACTCACAGTTAGCGTTTCTGTACAGCAAGAAGGGGTCTTGGAGCTGAAACTCAAGGTCTTTGTTGATGGGCTCCACAAGATTCTCTGTGCTTAGCCGATTCATGATTGTGAAGCCATGATGAGGGGAAGCAGACCTGTGGACAGGTTATTGAGCACAATGGAGACAGACTATTAGGCTACATGTTTTCATGTCTCAAAAAAAGAAAGAGAAAAGCAAAGAGTGATTCAGTTATAGAGAGTAACAGGGAGGGGTGGAGGTGAGGAGAGAGAGGGAAGAGATCACTTAGGGAGCCATAGACATATGGACAATATAAAGGCACATGTATTAAGGAGAGAGGACATGTGGTGAGACAACATCCACAGATAAAAAAAGGGGTTAGTTAAGCATCTTTGCAACACAGTGCCCCCTTCAAAAAAGGTCACCACATAACTGATACAAATAAATTACCTGGCATAAACAAATAAGGTGCCCTCGATTTCGGTCTTTTCCTGAAATGGAAATTGCGCAGAAAAATTACAACTTGAACTTGCTGAACATTAATCAATCATCAAGTACAAGAAGAATAACCACTGCATGCAAAAAGTCTGATATTTGGTCTGGGGTGCGTTCATTAAATGTTTTACTACGTTGCGTTACGGTTGTACTGAATGACAAGTTCCCCCAAACGGTTCTTCAACCGTCTTTAAGGTATGGTTAATCTCTCGTGGACAGACTACTTAAACACAAATGGTACCGTAGATCTGTCATGAAACAACGGGATGCGTGAGATAACAAGCAGCATTAGTTCCAGTGCTTTCGACAAATCATGATTTCCCAGGTGTTAGCATCTTTCAAATTTCGGAAGGGGATTGGACATTTGGCCGATAGACTTGCAAAGAGAGAGGGTGGAGCTATTCGTTCCGGTTCCGATCCTCATTCTGTCTCTTCTCTTAACAAGTATGGACCCATACTGACCAATTACGCAATACTTTAGTTCTGGGTTAACTGAGATTAATGCTGCGTTCACGTCTTGTTGGAAACTCTGAGTTAAAATTAATGTAAGTTACTTGCGTAGAGCTTCCCATTGGTTGATTCTGATACTTCCCAAGTGGGGAAACTCAGGTGTCATCTTTCTTCAACAAGTAAGCAAGTCAAACATTTCTGAGTTTCTGACATGACGTGAACGCAGCATAAGGTATGCTTTGATCCCGTTAGGTGGGTGTGGCCTGATCAATATGGCTGTGAAATGTTTTGTGTGAAACCACACAAAAAACTGCAGCTGCGCGAACTGATCATTCAGAACAGCACAGTTTCCATTAAATCAAACATTGTACACCGCTGTGTCCTGCTGAATGGGGCCCTGATGGCTAGCTAGCAGCTAGCTTACAGCGTTGGTACTTTGCACAACATACAGTGGGGAGAACAAGTATTTGATACACTGCCGATTTTGCAGGTTTTCCTACTTACAAAGCATGTAGAGGTCTGTAATTTTTATCATAGGTACACTTCAACTGTGAGAAACGGAATCTAAAACAAAAATCCAGAAAATCACATTGTATGATTTTTAAGTAATTAATTTGCATTTTATTGCATGACATAAGTATTTGATCACCTACCAACCAGTAAGAATTCCGGCTCTCACAGACCTGTTAGTTTTCCTTTAAGAAGCCCTCCTGTTCTCCACTCATTACCTGTATTAACTGCACCTGTTTGAACACATTACCTGTATAAAAGACACCTGTCCACACACTCAATCAAACAGACTCCAACCTCTCCACAATGGCCAAGACCAGAGAGCTGTGTAAGGACATCAGGGATACAATTGTAGACCTGCACAAGGCTGGGATGGGCTACAGGACAATAGGCAAGCAGCTTGGTGAGAAGGCAACAACTGTTGGTGCAATTATTAGAAAAAGGAAGAAGTTCAAGATGACGGTCAATCACCCTCGGTCTGGGGCTCCATGCAAGATCTCACCTCGTGGGGCATCAATGATCATGAGGAAGGTGAGGGATCAGCCCAGAACTACACGGCAGGACCTGGTCAATGACCTGAAGAGAGCTGGGACCACAGTCTCAAAGAAAACCATTAGTAACACACTACGCCGTCATGGATTAAAATCCTGCAGCGCACGCAAGGTCCCCCTGCTCAAGCCAGCGCATGTCCAGGCCCGTCTGAAGTTTGCCAATGACCATCTGGATGATCAAGAGGAGGAATGGGAGAAGGTCATGTGGTCTGATGAGACAAAAATAGAGCTTTTTGGTCTAAACTCCACTCGCCGTGTTTGGACGAAGAAGAAGGATGAGTACAACCCCAAGAACACCATCCCAATCGTGAAGCATGGAGGTGGAAACATCATTCTTTGGGGATGCTTTTCTGCAAAGAGGACAGGACGACTGCACCGTATTGACGGGAGGATGGAAGGGGCCATGTATTGCGAGATCTTGGCCAACAACCTCCTTCCCTCAGTAAGAGCATTAAAGATGGGTCGTGGCTGGGTCTTCCAGCATGACAACGACCCGAAACACACAGCCAGGGCAACTAAGGAGTGGCTCCGTAAGAAGCATCTCAAGGTCCTGGAGTGGCCTAGCCAGTCTCCAGACCTGAACCCAATAGAAAATCTTTGGAGGGAGCTGAAAGTCCGTATTGCCCAGCGACAGCCCCGAAACCTGAAGGATCTGGAGGAGGTCTGTATGGAGGAGTGGGCCAAAATCCCTGCTGCAGTGTGTGCAAACCTGGTCAAGACAGGAAACGTATGATCTCTGTAATTGCAAACAAAGGTTTCTGTACCAAATATTAAGTTCTGCTTTTCTGATGTATCAAATACTTATGTCATGCAATAAAATGAAAATTAATTACTTAAAAATCATACAATGTGATTTTCTGGATTTTTGTTTTAGATTCCTTCTCTCACAGTTGAAGTGTACCTATGATAAAAATTATAGACCTCTACATGCTTTGTAAGTAGGAAAACCTGCAAAATCGGCAGTGTATCAAATACTTGTTCTCCCCACTGTAGTTAGCAAGCAAACGTAGCTAATGTTAGCGAACTAGACAATAGTTATCTAGCAAACTAGCTAGTTAGCTAACTTAAAACCTGTTAGCTAACTTAGAACAGCCGCTAACATGGCGGCCGTTCTAAAACCTGGCAAAACTCTCTAAATAACCATATGGAGAACTTTGAGCAGTTCTGAACTGGCTCCGACTGACATTTGTGTACAAGGCACTCTGCGAATGCCAAACAGACCCATCTGTCTGCTCTCAGTTTCCACTCTCCAAGCAGATCTGACTTGAAGTGTCAGGTTTCAGACCCCACATTTGAATAGGGAGTGATGTGTCATTTGCTGGCCTATCCAGACAAAGAATCGATTATCTCTTCCTCTTAGCGAGTGAGCCCAGCTTGGGAGACCGCAAATGAACGGTGACAGTGTAGTAAGTCCAGCCATTGTGGTCACTGATATTCTGAGCCGGATTTAGAGCTCTCAGCATGAACAAATACAGAATAATTTCATAGAATTTAAAGAACAGCACTTTCTCTTGGTCATAGACAGGACAAAATCACTATGTGCTTAAAGCTGAAGTTGTAACGAGTCTGCGCACATTTGAATGGCGTCTCTGTGCCGCTCAGTGGACGTTTAGGAGAAAATTCTCTGTTGACAGTTATAAGAAATAGTGCCAATATTGTACTGTCATTAAGTATGATATTTATTTGACAGTTATGAGAGCTCTTATAGTAAGTCATTTATAATGTGATTGTTACTATATCTAGAAAGCATTTCAGTCATTCCAAGCCCTATTGCCACACTTTTGAACAGGGAGAAAAAAATCATAGCTATGATTTGTCCTAATATTTGTACTATGTACTTGAGCTTGTGTCCTCAAAAGTGAGTACACCTCAGCAATTTATAACTATTTTTTTCATTGGACGAAAGTGTCTTGTTCTGTAGGGGGGGGATTGTTAATAGCTATGACAGTCAGTCTGAAGATTAACACGCATCGCTAGCGGTACGATTTTGGAAGCATGGGGACCTTATCTTGCATATCTGCGATAAATAATTGTAAAAAAAACAAAAGGTTAAATTGATACACACATTTATAGGCTTAGGGTTCCCACACGGCCATATCTCCATGTTACAGCGCGTGTTTACAGACATAATACAGTACTAATTAGCTGTCTAACATGCTCCAAATACCTATGTGTAATGGAAGAAGGCCGCCAGAAAGGTGGTCACTGAAAAATACTGTCAGCTGCAATTGTGATAAAGCCGGCAAAAAACTGTGTACAGTAAGTGTATATTTAGCATTTGTGACTGTATTTTGATGTGATATGAAAGCAAAAGGCTTTATGTTTCTACAACCGTATCGCAATTGCGATTCGATTCACGTTTAGATAGCGTATTTGGCTATTTTGGCTGCCAGAGCCAGTCTACCTCTGAAAATAACATACGGTCCTTGAACATTAGGAGTAACGGTAGGCTCCTTAAGAGTACATCTTGGGACAAGGTAGATAGTTAGCTAGCTAGCTACCTTTAGTTAACAGAATAAACTAGCGACTCCTTTGGCGAACTTACCCATTCATTTGCTTTGGAATTAAATGTGTACAGTGCTACCTGTCCGGTAACATCGAGAAGTTTGTTGATATACGGATCTTGTTGTTGTAGAGCTGCTAGGCTCATTTTACTGGCGGTCTCCATCTTGAATACAATGTTTACCACACGGAAGAATTTCTATGAACACTCCATTTCCACTGTCCTCGGAAGACATGGTCACAATGCCTTATAGTTCCGCCCCACTTTTTGTTCGGCAATGAGTTGTAGTCATTGGCCGTGTTCGAGAGCATCACAAGTAAAAACCGTAACGTATCATGTGTAAATTGTGACTGACTGATTGATCTACAAATAATATTGAGTATTTATTAATGACGCAAGGTGATTTGTAGATCAGTCCAGTCAGTATTGACTCGCATTTCGAATGCGCCCCAAAATGATTTCTCTCTCACATGTAGGCTATCATGAATTTGAAAGGTGACTATTTTGCTACGGGCCTGTCTATCCATGTAGGCTATATCACTTGATGATGAAAAAACGTAAAACCCATAGCCCTGGATTATGATAGCCTAGATCTCTAAAAGCACATAAAATAAAATAAAATAAACATAGCCTGCTGTCAGAGGAAAATAATGACCACACCCACCAATTCATCAATTTCTTTCAGACTCAGGAAAAGTGTTAGAGTGTAAGAATTTATTTCGGATAATATATTTTCCACAAGGAGGCACTGCTGCAATATATTTCGATGACACCCATAATCCGTGTGGCAACACCTTTATAATAGACAATTTGGAGCTACAGGTGACCCTCAAATTTAAAGCATCTTTTAGCATAGAGGAATACATATGTTTTATAAGCACCTCAATGCGAGGTTTGGCATAGTAAAAGAGATAGGCATACTTGTTCTGTAAATAAACCTACCGTTATTAGTGATAAGTGAGTGACGGGCCTCCAACTCAGTCTTAAACCCGTAGGCCTATGCTATAGGCCGAAATATAAAAATGGAGATTGAAATTCATTAGTTATTTGCTGAAGTAGCCTTAGGCCAGTTAGGCCAACAACATCCTTTGCTTCAGTTCACTGAGGAACAAGGGATTATTATTCAGGGTTATCGCTGTGAAACCGTTATCTTGCTGCAGACAGGTAGACCTAGGCTAATCCAATAACCGGTAACCTTCCAACACACAGAGGGTTCATTTCCTTTCGATTCGTTACAGAATGTGTGCCCTAAACTGCGTCATGTAGCCCCAAAGAAGAGGGAGATGATATGGTGTTCATGGGTAAATCATGGGGATAGTGTTACACAATTGATGTTGCCTAACGACCTCATGCTAATAGCCTAATCAATGGCAACATTTGAAAAAACAACTGATGGACAATATATGTTTAATGTTGGTATAATAACACATGAGCTACATTATTTTATAGGCTATACGTTTTATTCTGTAGACCAGTAGCGGTGCGTGGGTAAAATCACTGGGGAAGCCAGAAAAAAAAGCCATATTACAACCCATGTGTTGTGATAATTGCCTTGTTTGCCCTATAAATCCTGTTAGTTCATATGCCTTGCGGCCATGATATATAGGCCTAAAGCCGAGACAGTAAGAAACAGTGGCAGAATAAATTCAACCACACCTTTGTTTCATCACAAAACGATTAGTTACCGGAGTGTAACTCCAGTTCTATGAGTGGAGCGGAGCCCCATAGGGGAGCTCTGCTCCTAGTGGTTTACCCTCTGCCCTAAGGCAGCAACAGCCTGAAGCAAAATTATGCACACACCTGCAGCCAATGGGAGCACAGGTGTCCCTATAAGAGGGGACGCTTCCCCTCAATCAGCCTCCCGAGATATTATCTTCAGCGAGACTAGAGAGGGTCGGCAGGGCCTTAAGTCCTATGGGGCTCCGCTCCACTCATAGAACTGGAGTTACACTCCGGTAACTAATCGTTCTATATCGTGGAGCTCCGCCCCATAGGGGAGCTCTGCTCCTAGTGGTTTAAGGCGGAGCGTAGCGCTCCAAAATGTACTCCCTGCTGAGCCTAACACTTCCCATTAAAAAATGAAAAGGTCAAGCCTAGCAATGGCCGCAACCAATTCCCGCAGTACTGCAACTAAAAACCCCTCTGGGCGTCACAATATACCGCGTCATCGGTTAAAGACCCGCCCCACCTAGTTCAATGGCAATGCCAATGACTAGTGGGCAGATCACCAGAATAGAAGCTACACTAATCTGTACTAGCAGATAGATGTGCCTCAATATCCTGTGAAAACACTACCGACCACTAATGGAATGACACCAAGTGTCACTCTACATTATGTACACAGTAGACCACCTCACTCACTCAATGGAATCCCAGAGATTAGTAGGCAGGAGCAAAATATAAGTCATACTAAACTGAACACTCAGATAGATGACCTCACATTCTGTCAATTCAATACATGTCTCTACTATACTGACCCTGTCAGTCAAGAGACATGCCACAAGATATGCTTTCCATCCAAAGCGGACCTGATAGAAACCTGTGTCCATCGTCCTGCTCTTCTCTCTTCTAGCTCAAGATTCCCCTTCAGCTATGCTGAGTACAATCGAGCCATAGAGATAGAAAGCCTATCTATCAAAAAACATGTTTTCCTAACCAAAGCGGACCTGATGGGAACCTGCCCATAGTCCTGCTTTATCCTCTCTTCCTGGCTCAAAATCCCCTTTCAGGTTTGCTGAGTACAGACCGAGCCAAAGAGTTAGAAAACATATCTGTCCAGAATATGTCTTCCTAACCAAAGCGGACCTGATGAACACCCATGTCCACAGTCCTGCTTCTTTCCTCTCTTTCTTGCTCAAGATCTCCTTTCAACCACGCTGAGTACAGATCGAGCCAAAGAGTTAGAAGGCCTATCTCATAGATAGAAACAGAATATGTCTTCCTGACCAAAGCAGACCTGATGGACACCCATGTCCACAGTCCTGCTTTTTTCCCCCCCCTCTCTTTCTTGCTCAAGATCTCCCTTCAGCCACGCTGAGTACAGATCGAGCCAAAGAGTTAGAAGACATATCTAATAGATAGAAACGGATAAATGGAGACGGTGTCGACCATGACGCTGCTCTACAAATATCCTCTACCCCTGTTCCTCTGAAGAGGGCAGTAGAAGCTGCTACTCCACGAGTGGAGTGAGCTCTGATACCCTGAGGCAGTTGTCGCCCGCTGCCTCGTAAGCTGTCTCAATACCTTCACAAAGCCAATGAGACAATCGCTGTTTTGAAAGTGGTCTACCTAATGCAGCCGCACCATGACACACAAACAGCTGAGGCGATGACCTAATCGCTGCTGTGCGCTCAACGTAACACGCCAAAGCGCGCACTGGGCACAGACAATGAAGCTTTTCCTCACTCCTCTCCCCATGAGGAGGGGGAGAAAAAGCCCACAACTCCACGGTCTGTGATCTATATGCACTGTTAATAACCTTCGGCACAAACGCCGGGTTTGAACGTAACACCGCTCTGCTCAGATCGCCATTAATGGCAAGGCAGTCGGGTCTCGTCGACAGGGCACACAAATCACTGACACGCTTAGCGGTAGTCAAGGCGAGCAACAGCGCCGTCTTGATAGACAGCATCTTGAGGGGTATTTGATTCAATGGCTCGAACGGCGACTTACATAGCGCTTCGAGTACCAAGGCCAAATCCCACTGGGGCAGCGTGGCTCTAGGCATTGGCCTAAGCCGCCGCGTTCCCAATAAGAAACGTTTCACTAAAGGATGGCTGAACACGTTCGTTCCGCCAAACCCCTCATGACCAGCTGACATTTCCACTGCAAACACTTTAATGGTGGAGAGCGATTTCTGCTTATCAAACATAAACTGCAGAAAAGAGAGCACACTCTCAACCTGACAGTTCATGGGGTCCACACCTTGTGTGTCACACCATCGTGAAAAAACTTTCCATCTGCTGGTATACATCCTAGAAGTGGAACCGGCTCGTGCACCTTGTATGGTTCTGATCACTGCATCAGATAACCCACGGCGCCTCAACCTGTCCCATTCAGGAACCAAGCCTTTAGTGGTTGGCCGATTATGGGCCACTGCCCTATCGAGCCTCCCGCCTGGGTCAACGCGTCCCGTCGATGTGGAATTGGCGAAGGTGGCGCAATCAACATCTGACTCATCTCCGCAAACCAAGGAGCCCCCGGGCGATCGGGCGCTATCAGTTTCACTGACAGCCCCTCTGACCTCACCCTGGCTAGCAGTGGGAGAATGCAAGACAGCGGAGGGAATGCATACAGGAGAACTTTCGGCCATGGGTAGTGCGCGAATGCGTCTCTTCCCAGTGGTGGCTCGTCCTGTTCCCTCAGAGAAAACCATAGGGGACATTGCGCGTTCACGCGTGACGCGAACAGATCCACCTCGGCTCTCCCGAACTGTTCCCAAATTTGGAGAACAATGTCCGGATGCAGACACCACTCGTCGTCTCGAGGACCCCCTCTTGACATGAGGTCTGCTCCTACGTTCAAGTAGCCCGGAATGTGTGCTGCTCTCAACGAGCGAAGGTGCTTGTGAGCCCACAGCCACAATTCCTCTGCCGCCCTGTGGAGGGCAGGTGACCTGACCCCCCCCCCTGGCGATTTATGTGAGCTACTGTGGTACGGTTGTCTGACCAGACCAGCACATCGCGACCCCGAAGGGTAGGCGCGAAGTGGGTCAGAACCAGTCGAACCATTTCCAACTCCAAGAGGTTTATGTGACGACCTGATTGAGGCCATGCACCTCCTATCGCTTGAGTCTGACATGTCCCTCCCCATCCAGTCAGAGAAGCATCTGTAAATACTGGAATGTAGGATGACACCTTGCCCATCGGGACTCCGTGCGTGAGAACGCTCGGATTCCTCCAATAGTCCAGGTCTGCTCTTAGCGAGAGAGGAACCACCACCAACCGATGACGTTGATGCACTGGGTCTAGTCTTAGTTGGGCGAACCATCGCTGTATTCTGCGCATGTGCAGAAGTCCCAGCGGGACCACAGAGTGGGCTGACGACATGAGACCCAAAAGTGACATGATCGACAGCGCCGTCACTGTGTGATTCGGACGACACTTCCTCAGGGCTAGCAACAATGCTACCCTTCGAGGGTCCGAAATTCGAGCCCTCATCATTAC